GTTTAACTCATCAATTAATTAATTAAGTATTTAAATACCCAAGCAAATAATGAGACTCCAATAATCTAAGCGCCAAACTGCTGAAAGATATTGCAATAATTATTTTTTGTCAAGTAAAGAGCAAAGCTTAAACTACAAGAAGAATTTTCCAGCAACATAATTTTTTGGTTGTTAGCTTAAAAATTTCAGCTGCGTAAACAAATGTTTTTTATTGGTTAAAAAATTACTACAAAAAAGGTTTCCCAGATTTAGATCAAGCTAAAGCGATTTATAGATTTATTTGATCAATGAAAAACCCAACATACCCCTGATAGCCGGGTATCAAAGCCCACCAAAAAAAAAACAAAAAAAAGAGGTGCCGCTGCCAAGAGCAACGACTTTAAACCCTTATCGCGGGCTGTCCTGTGTGGGCCCAAACACATATGTATGTACATATGGAGCACTCAATGCCGCCCGAACTTATGTGTGATACCGAGTATGTATAGAACCTTGTTGGGGTTTTTTTTTATTTGTTGGTTCGATCCGTTTCGATACGATTCCAGTTTTGGCCGCGTCACTTTTAGGCACTTCTCTTTCTCTCACTCTAATCGTTATCGCGGCGGCACAGCACTCAGCACTCGATTTATTGATAAGTTCAATTTGTTTTCCATTTTACGCCAACTTGAACAAATTGTTTTGGTTTTTGCTGGGAAAACGAACACACCACACACGAAACAACACAAAACAACACAAAACCTTTTTTTTTTCCAGTCATGGAAATCGCATAAAAAGCTGGAAAATTAAATGCTGCTGCTCGATCATATGATATTGATAAATTTAGCAATTATTGATGATACATAGATGAATATTTTATAGAAAGAAGTGACTATTTTTGGACTTTCCTTTGTTTAGAATTTGATTTTATTTCGGTGCAGACTATGGGATGATAAGAGACTGGCACTGGGACTGGGGGACTGGCCCCAAATAAACCAAAAACAAAAAACTTGAAGTGCGCAAAACTGAACTTTACCCTGGAGCATGAGTACGCCCAAAACGTATATGAGAAATTCCCCCAAATTGCAGTTGTATATCAATAAAGTCCTATGGCCTGAACGGTCAATGTACAGGTCAGTACCAAGTTCATTTTGTTTGTACGTATATCAAATGTTTTAGTGAGCATACGTACACTGATAGAAAAAAGGCATAGTAAAAATAACTGCAATCATATTTGTATTTAAAATGCCATTTTTAAATACAAACATAGTAAAATTTAATAGAATTCACTTTGATTCAAATATAAATGTATTAAAAATGCTTTTTTAATACGGTCATATTTAATCTAAATACAAAACATTTCAAAATAACTATAATATATTAAATTTGTAGTTTAATATGTTTCATATTTAAATTGAATATTATTATGACTTGATTTCAAAATTTTTCTTTTAAAATCCAAAGGAAAAACTTTTTATTTTAAATATTCCATATTAAATGAAAACAAATATTTTTTTTATTTATTTTAACTATGTTTATATTATTTTTTTATGTCCCTCGAATTCCAACTAGTTCCAGCTGCTCCTGCCTTGAATGCACAGTAAAATTATCTTAGCGCAGGGGCATAATCACAACCAATGCAGTCCTACTCATGTTGCGATTATTTCTAGTTGAAAACTTTAACCAATTCACACCATGAGGACTTGAAATGTAATTTGCGTACGCAAAATAATAACCAATTAGTTAAAAATGAATATAAATATAAATATGAAACATATTAGATTTATATATGAAACATATTAAATTTAAATATGAAGCATATTAACATTAAATATGAAACATATAAAATTTAAATATAAAAACATATTAAATTTAAATATGAAATATATTAATATCAAAATTTAAGTGAAAAATATTCAATTTTAATACAACCACTCTTGGATGAAAATCAATGGCATAAATATTAAAATCTAAGTGAAAATATTAATATTTCAGGGCTTTTTTCTATCGGTGTACATACATGCATACGTATTTTGTGTGCATTTCTTCATAAAACTTAAATAAACATGCGGAATTACGTATTCCATGTGCGAATGGGTTCATTCACATGCAAACAAAAGGGAGAGACCCTGCGGCTTTTCAGAGAATTATGTTTTGTTTATGCGCTACACGCAGTTAATTAAACATAAAGGGAATTTCATATGTGGGGAGTACTCGTATGTAAACCACAATAACACAAGAACACTGACCTGCAAATAAAGTGCATGCCATAGTCGTACATATAAAGGTACCAAAGAAAAAGAGTCGTAAAAGATCCTAGAACCTTTGTAAGAATTTGCATTATTATTTAGCCATTTATTATTATATTTGTTTGTTTTTTAGGCACTGTAAACGTAGGTTTCCATGGGTAATTAATGCTCTAGCTACAGCAATTTAAATGAGTTTCCATTTATTAGCTAACAGTCTTTGTATGCACAGCCTCCAACATTCTCAATTCATTAAAACTTTATTTAAAAAGAAATTTTGAAGAACTTTTCTACTACAAGGGGGGTGGGGAGCTGCTCCCACCTGCAGCATGCTCGTTAGTAGGAAAAAAGCAATTTTAATTGAATATTTATGAATGTTGAATGTTCTTTCGTTGTTTAAGTGATGCAATGAGATTTTTACACGTAAAAATCTACCAATCCCTTTTTACGTAGAATTTTTTAAAACATTTTTAAGCTCACATTTCCAAAAAGACTTTCCACATGCGAGTTATTTTCCAAGTATTTAATTAACGGGGCGAAAAAGAATCCTTCCCGGAATTCCCCCTGGGTACGCCACTTGACATTGTTCTTTTTGGTTTGCTGCACTCTGGAGTGGTACCTAAATGGTACTCCATTTCACATTTGCTTTCATTTAAGAGCATTAGCAATTGCCATACAGACTGTAGTCATGGGATACGAATCTCTATTAAAGCAAAGAATTTAATACCGTTACGAGTTAGTGCCATGAGATTTATTTGTAAGCCTTTTTTTTTTTGGCAGCATTTTTCCAGTCATGCCAAGCAATGACATAAATTGGCAAATATTCTGGGAAAATTCGTTTAAATATTTTATTTGCGATTTCCATGTGTTAATAGTCGCAGGTTGCGGCTGGGTGGGGGGGTGCACGTATCCATGTGTTTGATTGTCCCTGAGGGTTTTTTTTTTTTTTTTTTTGTTTTGATTGCTCGTATGGGTTTGACTTTTTTAAGCTTTTCAGAATGTCTGTGAACGGAGCCAATGGCAATGACTATTCGTGAAATAATTGATGAGATACGAGAAGCACAACGACTGCCTGCCAGCCAGCCCCGCGGCACTACGCCTGCCTGCCATTGTATATAACACGATTTAGCTGTATTTGTTAGATAGTAAATAAAAAAACTACAACAACAAGAATGCAACATAAACGTAAAAACAAAGAGAAAACGAACGAACTATGACGTCTGGCGAAACATCTGCGTGAATTTTGAGGCTGGCTTTTGGCAAACAGAAAAAATGTTGTGGCAACAAATTCGAAAAACGAGCAAGGATAAGGGCAAGGGCACTATCGGGAAACAAGAGTGCAAGAGCAACAACGAGTAACTCACTTAAAGTCACTTAAATCCATTTATTTATGTAGAAAGGATTGGCATAAACTTTAATCTAAAATATAATTGTTTGGTCAAAAGTTTTAGAGAGAAAACTTTGAAAAGGGTTTTTGTTTTACTTTCAAATATTTACTATAATATTGGGAAACTTTAAGCAAATTTTGGTATAAAATCAAGGACTACGTATGTACATATTTATGTAGATGTAAGCCTGCAGCTGTAGTGCAAACTCTTCGTTTGTGTTTTTGTTCAAAAATTGCCGTGCTTTGTCCTGCTCCACTTTTATGTTGGGGGAATGCCAGTAATTAAATAAAACCAATTAGGACAGCATGTTTGGGGGGTGGGGTTACTTTAAGTACATTGCGTGGATATTCTGGCAAATTGTTTGGTCTCTCTTTGCTGCTCTCTCTCTCTCTCTCTCTGCCTAGCGGGGCAGCAATTATTTATCAATTTTAGCGCGTGTTTAAGTAGATTAAATGCTGCTACTTAATCATGTGCTGACTATACGTGTACATATATGTATTTATTATTGCTATGTATTGTAACTTTTGTTGACCATGCTCTCAACAATAAATAACATGCTTTTAAGCTGTAATAAAACAAAGTGTCGTGGGGAGAGAGAGAAAGAGCAGCGCGACAGAGGCAATGCCCAGAGAGTGCGATAATTTTTAGTTCGATAATTAGTGGAGTAACTAAACTGACAAAATACTACGCAAGAGGTGTGTGTGTGTGTGTGCTGTGTGTGTGTAGTATATAGCAACCCAATCGCACACACAAACAAACAGTGAACAAATGGCGACACTTTGCTTATCACTTAAAGTGTCCGCTGCTGCCGAAAAGCAACAAAAATAAATGTGAAAAAATTGTGAAAAATATATATACATATATAACCCTAACCATAACCGTAACTGTAACTGTAGCGATCGAAGGCACAATCTAATAATAAAAATAAAAAAAATTGAAATTTCCCAACGCCCAAAATAAAAGTGAAAGGGTGCGGATGTCTCATCACTTAATGGGGCGGGGGTTAGGGCGCCACCTGAACCTGAATCACAGAGAGTCACAGTCACAGCTGTGCGATCTTGTCGCCTATCTAGATTGATCAGTGTCAAATGGGTAAATCAATTGCGCCGTGCGTGTGTGCTTCAATTGAAGCGACGATCATCAATCAGCGCAGTAATTCACTTCAATGTGATCAAAAATAATGCACCGAACACTGAGAAATTATTTATTGGGAATTGGGAATGCCAAGAAATTCCACAACATTTTACCTCACTCCTCGATGCTCGCGGCAAGCACATGGGAGTAGAGGGGAGTCTGCCTATCTAATCGGGCAGCACATGGCCTTGTCGAAGGCAGTTACACTATAACCAAAAATGGACAGATCTAAAACCCTTAAGTCCCGGCTTGTACTTACCATTTGGTTTTGCATGCTGCAGCCACTTAGCTCTTAAAAAGAGTATCCAAGTCCACAATTAATTGTTGACTTTTCCGCCGATGATTGGATGGATGATGGGGTTGAAAGCTTTCAAGGTTTTATTTGCGTTGATCCAACACTTACGTATGTGGATGGATATGGAAATGGATATGGATTTGGATATATATGCTATTTGTTTTGTTTCTTTTCAATTGTAAACAATTCGCACATCGAATTTGTATTATTAACAACACAAACACACACACAAATATTTGAAGAGCTATTTTTAAAGTGAAGCCAAAGGAAATGCGCAACACAACAAACAGCAATTATTATTATTAAATAATTTGGAATTTAATTTAAATATCCGCTTGGCCGTTTGACCGTTTTGGCACTTTTATTTATAGACACTCACTCCCCGTAAATTGTGTATATTATATGTGCACTTTTGTTTACAAGTTTTCTTTCTTCTAAAGTTTTACTCTTGAGCGGTTTTACGCTGTGTGGATTTTCTCCTTTATTTCTGTGAATTTTCTTTTGTATTATTCTTTCATCTTTTTTGGTTGCATTTCATTCATTTAATGGCACGCTCACAATGCAAACACAAATTCAATTTTCACTTCCGTTTCCGCTTACACTGGCCAACAGCCACAAAGCAAAATAATCCTCTCACAATTTCTATGCAAATTTCTCTGGCTACGCGTCACTAATAGCATTTCCATTCAGATTTCACTCTTCAGCTTTTTTCCGCGTCACTTGTCCGCAATTTGATTTGGAAATTCGGCTATTACGATTCGAATAATGGCGCCGCTACTCTGGTTCGGTTTTAATGGCAACTGACGCGACGGGCGGCAGAGAGATAGAGAAAGAGACGTGGAAGCAACAAGCGTTTCTGCCGGAATGATAACAATTGTTAACGTTACGAGCTGCCAAATGTCTTGGGCGAAAATGCACGACGAAAGCTCTGGGGGGAAAAAGCTCCGGCAAAAACGCATGTTTCGGCGCGTCTAAAAGCTGCCCATACGCCGTGCCATACCGCGTACCTTTGCTGTGCGTACAGTAGGCATCAGCTACTAAAGAACAGCTGTCTCAATAGCAAGAAAATATGCAGAAATACGCGTAATATTAGGCAAGAGTTTTCTGCGGTAGGATGAAGAAATTTTTTGAACATCCATCAAGCGAAAATTTTTAGATTTTTAGATTTTATTTCTGATTCTATGTGGCTTTCATTGTTTCTGAAGCAGCCCATTAAGGCGCATAAATCATCGACAGGCTATCAATTAATTAAACGATAAGTCGATTCTTCTTCGGCGCTGATTAATAGTGGTACATACATATAAAAACATACATATGTATTTGTGTGTGTACTAAATATTTAGAATCAAACTTAAGCTGTAAATATTTCAAGCTGAATTTAGTAATAAGATGGCGATGCGTGCTCATTCTCAACTCGCTCTCTCGGCTCTCAGAGAGACAAGCAAGCAGTCCTTCCTTGTTGTTGCCTGCTGATGCATGCTGAAAAACGGCACTCGAAAGAGAGCAGCTGGTGGCGTTGGTGTCACATTATTTTAATCTGATCCACACAATACCAAAAATGCATAAAAGAAGCTTACATAAAAGAAGCAAATATCAAACATGGCAATTTCTTGCAATATAAACACGCCGCTAGTCAATAACTGAGTGAACTCAGTGAAGCAGTAGAAAGCAGTCGACGCCAAGCAGTGACTGGATATACAGCACAACCTCACATTGCTCCGATTTCTCAATCATTGTAGCCGGAGCTCCAAACGTAATTTGCTGCAGCAAATATTCCATTATATTCGTAGATCTCGTTCAGTTAACTTCAGTTTATATTTTATACTAGACTTTTTTTTTGGTACATTTGTGATTAAAGTGAAAAATTCATTGATTCGCTCGCTGCCACGGCTCAAGATGACATTTACGTACAAGGATCTGATAGATGTGGCCATTGGCACACCGGAGTCGGGCCACGTCAACTTCTATGCCCTGCACGTGCTGCTGACCAACTTGGCACAGAAATTGGATTGTCTGGATGAGATTGTGGAGCAGGATGAGTACCTAGCCTCCAATATACGCATGCAGAGCAGCATGAGTGAGTGTCTGCCGGGGGGACTGTCACAAGGGATCGTCCTGATGCCTGCCCTTTCCTTTCCTTTCCTTTCCTTAGTGACAATGCGCAGCCCCTGCTCCAAGTATCGTCTGGTGGGTGGTGCCGATGCGGAGGAAGCACCCGCAGATGCAGCCGCTAGCGAAGCACCAGCCGAAGAGGCTGCACCACCGCCCGCTGAGGAGGAACCAGCCGCCGCAGCTCCAGCAGAAGAAGCAGCAGCTGCGCCCGAACCAGAACCCGAGCCCGAGCCCGAGCCAGCAGCAGCGCCTGAGCCCGAGCCAGAACCTGAGCCAGAGGCTGCACCCGAAGAGGCGCCAGCAGCCGCAGCCGCAGCCGAACCTGAAGCCGAGCCAGAGCCAGAGCCACAGCCCGAACCAGAAGCGAAACCAGAGACGCCCGCCGTGGCATCCGAGCCAGAGGTGGCGCATGCCGGGGCAGAGGATCAGGTGGAGCCACCGCTAATCTCACGCGCAACGTCGCGCACCTCCCAACGCAGGTCGCACGGGCGCCTTGATGGCTCCCTGGTGGGCAACCTGACGCGCCTGGAGAAGCGCATGTCCAAGGTGGAGATGCACAAGGAGCAGGCCAACATGGAGATGCAGACGTTCGTGACCACTATGACGGGCCAGATGAAGCTCACCATGGAGCAGCTGAACAATGTGACCCACCTGCTGATCGACCGCAAACCCAATCCGGATCGCTTCAAGCTGCTGCGGCACATCGCCCGACAGCTGCGCGTGCTGATGCGGGCCGCCGACGACGAGGTGTCCATCAGCTGGACCAGCGGCGAGGCTGTCATAGAGGAGATGGAGGCCATGGAGGAGGAAATGGAGGAGGAGACGACGGTCTCCACCACGCCCACGGAGGCGGAGAAGCCCGAGGAGGAGGAGACCTTGGATCTGGAGCAGCATCTCTGCTACTCGCCCGATCGCATGCTCAACGAGCTGCTGGAGCTCAAGTCGCAGTTCTGCGCCCTCACCAACAAGACCAACGAGCTGGCCGCCGCGCTGCTGAAGCAGGACGCGCAGCATCTGATGGACAGCATGCAGGATCTGCAGGAAACGGTGCGGGAGATCAAGCTGTATATGGCCACCAATCGGGAGGCCACCCAGAGCATGCTCACCCAGGTGAATGCGAATGTTGCGCAGATTGTCCAGCTCAAGAAGTCCGTTACGCACCTGGACGAGATGAAGATCGACAAGACGGAGGTGGAGCTGCTGCTGGCCGAGAAGGTGGACTTCGATCAGCTGGCGACGAAGGTGTCGCTGGAACAGCTCGAGGAGTACAAGGCGCGGCTGGAGAAGCAGTTCTGCGAGGTGCGCCACATCATCAGCCTGAACGAGAAGAACGTGCTGCAGATCATCGACCATCTGCGCATGACCCTGGGCATCGATGCCCTCGAGCTCGGACTCAAGGACTTCCGCGAGCTGATCGAGAAGCGTGTGGCCATGATCGCCGAGGCGCTGCAGAAGTACATGGAAATGACCAACGATGACTGCGCCGCCGCCGCCGGGCGGGTCAAGGTGCTGCAGGATCTCGCGTGCATCTCCTGCGACACGCCGTGCGTGATGCGCACAGTGGAGCGCTCCAAGGTGCCGTCGCTGCCGGCGGCCAAGGGCTCGTCGGGCCTGGGGCCGCTGGTCACCTACGAACTGGGCCAGATCCGCAAATCGGGCATCATGGGCTACTACCGCAAGGACGAGTTCCCCCACTGTGCCAGTGCCTGGACGAAGGGCACCGCCGGCGCTCCCATGGTCAAGTGTGTGCCACGCCATGCGGGCGGACTCCACACCACCCACACCGCCGACGATCACATGCAGAAGGTGGTGCTGTCCAAGAAGACCTCTGGCTGGCGATAGAACGAACCGCAAACATCAGTTGAACTTTTATTTCTCACGTTACTTTCGACACGATTCAAAACTAAATTTACAATATTACGGTACTGTTTTTACTTAGTTTTTCCTCCATGCAAATCCACTTAATTTAAATTTGGCGCCCCAGCAACCAATATGCCATGGTTTGGCAGCCCGCAGCAACTACGAATTGTACGAGTCTGGCAACGCCACAAAAACGACGTCACATTCGTTTTATGTTGTTCTTGTTTGAACCTTAATATATGAAATATATGGTTCCAGTCACACTGGACAGCACCGAAAAAACAAATCAAATAAAATATTTATTTTTCAATATCTTAAGATAATTTTCAAATTGACCGCCAACCTCCATTTAGCGTACAAAATATCGATATTTTTCGCTCTCAATTCGTGGAGAGTTTGCAAAAATCGCTCTCAATTCGTGGAGAGTTTTCAAAATTTGCTCTCAATTCGTGGAGAGTTTGTCAGTGGAGAATAGAGTGTTTTTGTGGAGACTTTCCCCTCATTTTCGTGGTGTGGCAGCATGCTGCTGAAATTGTTCCCATACAAAATCAAATGTATCTTACGGGAACGCGTATGGAATAAAGATTCATTGTTGCGTCATTCCATACGCGTTCCCGTAAGATGCATTTGATTTGTATGGGAAAAATTTCAGCAACATGGGGAAATGAAGTAGCAGCATTGTTGTGCAACTTTGGCACGGAATGAGCAACAATCTGCATACCTTGGGAAAATGGATATTATGGACTTGAGATATTGTTTGAATTTTCAGGCTCCAATTAATGCAAAAACTACTCAGTCTCTGTTCTAAAGATATTAAGAAAGTTTTGCAGCTCACGGGTTCCAATAATAGGTATCAGAACTGGGATAAATGTATATATAAAACACAAATATATTCATTAAGAGGTTAAAAACATGTCAATCTATGATAAAATCATAAATAATGTTTCAATGGAGCTTGGAATAAAACATTTAACATCAATTAAACGAAATAAGGTATACAAAAAACCATGCGCATAGAAGAAACTTGGTTGACCAGCAACATGTGACGTCACATTTAGTCAACATTTACGTTTTATGCTTTGGCCGTTTTTGTTTGAACCTTAATATGTAAATAATCCAATAAAAAGGACTTCTGAAAACTTGCCAATCTCTTAAAAATATATGTATCTATCGGATAAAATTATTTGTTTAGGGCTGAGAGTCCCAGCTAGCTAGTAATATTAAACGGAATATCAAAATCCAAGAATATCAACGTCTTGTCGTGTCCGTCAGTATATTTACGGTATATTTTGATAATGGCATTGTATATTTTGGTATATTTATGAGGGTCAGACGGTATTTTTGTAATAAATCCGTTACACACACACTGCACTACAGTTTAACAACAATTGGATTTTGAATGAACAACTTTTGCTTTTGAATAGTCGTCGAGGCAGGTCGTTGGCGCGCTTGTTTATTCCCATACTTTTGTGCTTTCCGTCTCCGTGCGTTGTGTCGTCGTCGTCGTGTTGTTAGCCAGCGTTGAAACCGAAACCAGCTGGCAAAAATATATTTATGCGCTCGCTGTCGCTGCATTCCGAACAAGTTCTCCACAAATAAATGTTTATACCGGCCCAGTGACGTGAAATTTTCGTGTTAAATCAAATGTCAATTTATGACTGATCCATTCCAATTGGCCGTGCTGGATCGAGGCCCAAAATACATATATTCTTTATTAATTGAGTGTGTTGTCACAGCAGAAATTAAACGTCGAAATCAGCAGAACCAGAAACACAAAACATAACACATAAAAACGACAAAAAAAAATATATTTTTGTATAATCAAAATTCAGAACGAGACGCGAAACGCAAGGCAAACACAGTGCGAGATAAATCGAGTAAAAGAGTGAAAAGGTAGAGAGACGAAGAAAACAAGCAAAACAAAAGCAAGAAGTGAACCCCGTAATATTCCAATTTTCTTGATCTTCGCGCGAGCATCGTCCTCCCCTCTCACTCTTATTTACCTGAGAGTCCGTCCCCTCTGCCATTGCAGCCGGCATTTGGTAACGTAACTCGCTCTCCCGCTCTCACGGGGCAAAACAAAACAACGCAAAGGAATAGAGAGAAGCAGAACGAGAAGGAGAAGCAGCAGCAAAAATGGCATTGCAACGGGAAGTAGGCGTACAGGACTTTGTCCTACTGGATCATGTGTCCATGGAGAAGTTCATGGATAACTTGCGTAAGCGGTAAGTCAGCGCCAAACCCACATTTATATTTATTGATTTCACATTCGCCCCTTTGTGGCCTTGTCCTCTCGCTCCACGCTGCTATGCGTTGCCACTTGAAATTCTCTTGGTCTAGTTCAAGGCTTCTCTTCTCTTGTTCTGTTTTGCTCCAGGGCCAGTGCCTGGGGCTCCATCCCAACCGGTTGCGGTTCTCGGCTTTTCCAGCTCGATTAAACTTGATTTCTTTTATCGGATTTTCAATTAAACTCTGCCACATGCCGTTTGCCGGCTCTGTCTGGTCTGCTGTGGTCTGGCCTGGCCTGGTGCCCTGCCATGTGTCGGCTTGGTTCTACTTGAGAGCGCGCTCAATGGACCCATTTGCATGCTCATTTACGAGTGTTTAACTTTACTCTTTACCTGTTCGTTTTTTTTTTTGTGAGTGAGTGAGTGAGTGGAGTGTTGACGGAATGACTTTCGGTTTTTAAACCATTCATTAGCGGCGCCATTTATACAATTTAAAAGGGAAATGCAAATAGGAAGAGGATGGGGGTACATCTTAGAAGGTTTAGCCCAGAGCGATGCATCGAAAAAATGTGGCAAAAATGGGAATATATGTGTGCAAAGGAGAACTTCCTTATGCCATTCAAATTTTATTCAAATTAAGCAACAGACTTTGACAGATTTAAAATTTGTATGCTATTTTTGTGCTTGCCTATTGAAAACCATTTCGATCACGCTGTCAAGGTGGAAACGATAAAATATGCCGAGTAGATATCAAATGATTGAAGTCGCATTTCGTGAGCATCCATAAAGATTTGATGGCAAAAAAAAAAAACACCAAGCTAAATCTAGTTTTGGCTTAAAACACGCACAAAAGAAACTTTTTCAAAATAATCTAACTTGGAAATTGAACAATTCTTTATAGAATATATTATATATTACAATACATTATATATATTATATAGAATCACAATAGAATTAAACTAACTAATGATCTGAGTGAATTTTGAGTTGTCTGAGAAACTACTGCATATAAAATAATTAAAATAAATCAAATAATAAAACAATAAACCGTAAATAAATATGGCATTATATAATAATAACTGGGTACATATATCAACAATAACTTTACACATTTGCTAGCCCAACAATCCCTAGGCTAGTACTCTGCCCACCTGTGGCCTGGGGCCCTGCATTCCGCGTGTCAATATTTGTGTGGCCAGCACTGTGGTTGGTTCCAGTTAGCATGTTTTGATAGTTACTGTCAGTGGCTGTGCAGGGTCCATTATATTGGAGTTCCTTTACCTGCGCACCACAGCAAACACACAGCCCACAGAAGCCCCCACACACAGCACAGGCAGAGGCACAGGCAGCGGCACAGGCAGCGGCACAGGCAGAGGCACAGGCAGCGGCAGAGTATGTCATTTCATGCGGCGTGTGTCAACAACTTGTTGCATGTGCTTGTGCTTCCTTTGAAGCACTCTATCTGCCTGTGTTTGTGTGCGGTGCCTGTTGGCGTCTCTACCCCAACCACCTGCCACGGGTCGTTGCATTGCATGCCTCGCTAAGTTTCATGTAAAAACGATCGCTATCACGAAAAGTTCTCGCTACATTGTCATGTCCACATATTTATCTTGCTGATTAGCAATGGGTCTACAAAATTGTTGGAAATAGTTTCGCTTTGCTCATATGATAATGAAGTGCTTCATCACTTCATTACGAATGCCCAGGGCCCAGGGCCCAGGGCCCAGGCACTTCAAACCGAAATCCTACTTGACTCAACGCATTATTTGGGCAGTGATTCATTCAATTATACGAGTCGTAGCAGTAGGCACAGACATATACTATGTATGGGCATATTTAATTACTAAACACACACACTCAGCAGACGATATATCACAATTACGAATCCGCTGCCTTTGATAAGCCAAAAGCCAAAGCCAAAGCCAAATGCTTGTCAGATCCGAATCGGTTTGGGAATCGAAAAATGGAAAAATTAATTGGTTAGGCAGCAGTGGCTGGCAGTGGCTGAGTGGATATTGAATCACTAAAGATCATTCATTCATGGCACATATGATAAATGGTTGCACTGGTCTGTGCATCGATTGCACAACCAAAAACTATAATTAACAGCAGCTTAATGTCAAAAAGATGTTAACCCAATTATGTGGATCATAAAACCGCTTATCAAAGCCAACAGCAACAGCAATTGTTGCGCTGGAAATTGGATTAATTGCATAATCATCAGCTCAGCGATAATTACACACGATTTTCTTTTTCTTTTCTTTTTTTTTCATAAGACATAAGACATAACCACAACACGAATCAATTTGCTCTGCCATTAATAAATATTCAGCTGAAAACCCGGAAAAAAAAATCACAACGAGTATTTGTTGCACAAGGAAAACCCCCCAACAAATTGAGGGTCAAAAACGAGCCAAAACCTAAAAAAAAAAAAAAAGAAAAGCGAAACACGTAATTGGAAGAAAAAAGGCGAAAACGTGTAGAAAATAAAATGAAATTGCAGTTAAAACAAAATTCACTTTCATTGCGTTGGCCAAATGGGAAATAACTGCATTTCATTTGGTTTACATTTGTATGGGCAATATACTCTTTGGCGGAGCAGAAGGGTGCTATAGGCTTGGGTAGGCACTTTGCTACAGCCAGCAGGAAGCAGCTAGGAATTTTTAAATTATATATTAGTTTGATCTACATTACTGTCCTTTGATTCCCATGCGATTGCTCTAATTTAAGAGCTGCTAAATATTTAATAAATAAATAATAAATAAATAAATAATAAATAATAATAAATAAATAAATATATAATACATTTTAATAAATTTTAAGCTGCAGAGACAGTTTTTTTGCTCTTCAAATTTATCTAATAAATATATGTATATTTATATTATATATATACATATTTATATTATATAGAAATATTTATATATATATTTATTTTTTTATTGCAATATTTTTTTATTGCTGCTGAAACTGCCATAGCGTATTTAATCTTCGACGCGTCGAAATGTTTTGCTTTATGCATTTTTCCTTAGATTTGCTGTCGTAGTTTGTTGGCAATGACATCATCTGTTTGGGATGGACATGGACTTGGCACAGCGAGTGTCTTCTTTGCTTTTATTTTGGCAACCCAAAATATCCCCAAGAGTGCCCTCTTTTATTTTATTTTATTTTCAATACAAAATATATATTTATTAAAAGGCTCTCTCGGTTTAGCTTTGCCCTTGCTCTTGCTCTGAGTCACTCCTCTGTGTATCTTGCAGATACTCGAGTCTCGACGAGTCAACAATAACAAAACACTAATGCCGAAGCGAGCAACAACAAAAAGAGGCTGGAATAAAAATGCCATGGCGTAGCCAAAAATACAAACCGGTTGATGGCGTCAGTTTGGCCAAAGACTCACCCACAAAATACAACAAAAAATACAACACAAAATACAACAGAAAAAGAAACAAAAAAATGTGCTTGAAAGAAAACTTGTTTGAGTTACCTACCAGAAAACCTAAAAAAGAGTTTCCTGAATTGTTTGATCTGGGCCCAAGTTCACAGCAGAGCAGCAGAGCAGCAGAGCGGCAGAGCGGCCCAAGGAGAGTTTTTTTGGTTTTTGTTTTTATGACTGCCATTAAGTCAAGTGTCCTCCACATGGTAGGGCACAAGAGTGCCATAAAATGCACTGATTGATTGCCCTTTGACCCATCAGTTGCACTCGCTGTACTTCGATCTTTCGTTTAGTTTTCATTTTCGGTTTTCGGTTTTGTTTACGCATTTATTTGGCCCAGATTCTCCATTGTAGATCATCATTTTTCGTGCTTCTGTTTACAGTTTTTGTGGCTCACTCATGTAGATCCCATGAACTGCCGTTGAACTTTATATTGCTGGGAAAAAAAAAAAAAATACATTTATTACGGCTATGAATTTTCTTGATATTATTTTTGGGGGATTTTAAATTAAATGACAACGAGAAAAATGTGCTTAACGAGGTGATCCAGTACCGCCTGATCTTGTACAATTTTAATGAGCCAAAAATAAAATTATGTGGGCAGCAAATTCACACTTTGAGGAATCAGCATTAAAGGGGGGGTTCCTTGATCTTTTTACATGCAGATTATAATGACTCGAGTGGTGGGTGCTCTGGTCCACTGTTGATCTTTTGGCTTACAAATTTATAAAATAAAATTTACCACAGTTTACTGAACTTTTAACTGAAGAGTTTTGAGTCCGTAAAACACTCTTGAAACATTTTTATTTCAGCCCCACAAATCAGTTCTTGCTTGCCTCAGTTCTTGTGATCTTCAAGTGCTGCCGCAGCAAGTGCCACACTTCATAAATTGCCTTTTGTCTTATCAAGTGAGAAAAAGAAAACATCTACAGATACAGATACAGCTACAGCTACAGCTACAGCTACAGATTTAGGCCAGGCATCGAAATGAATCATTAAAGTGACGTCCCCTAGACGCTCAATGCAAACAGCAAACTGCATTTCAATTTCATTTTTGAATGCTTTTCGTATATTTCCATTAAATTTATTTTATTTTATTTTTACTTCATTTTTTTTTTGGTTTGGTCAAGGCTTAGGATTTTAGTATTCCACAGACGACAATCAAAATGAAAATGCACTGAAAATAAAAACTGTTTTGTTGGCTTTGAGTGCTAAGTGAAGAGCTATTTTTTTTTTGTGGGCAAACAAAAACTCCGAGACTGAAAAAATAAAATAAAACATTTATTTATGTTGGTTTGGTGTCACTTTACACGAATAGAATAACTCTTGAGAGTTCTCTGGCAGCACTTGGGCAAATCTTATCGCTCAGCCCCCACAATTGATAGTATTTATCAAAAGCAGAAAATAATAATAAAAAATCCCCAATTTGTTTTTATAATACACTCGCTCACATATGGCTGCAGCTTTTTGTGTGTGGTGTGGTGTGGCAGCTACACCCTGATACGTCGCATTCCTTAGGGGCAAGCATTTATTTATTTATTTGCTAGCCGATAAGATTGCCAGT